GTGCAGTTGAATTTATTTTTACTTCTTCTAGACTTGGATATGTTGAGTATCTTCCAAGATTTCAGACTCTGGTTAATGCCTACAACCTCGACCTACATGCTAAGGTGGTCATATTCAATTTATTGACTTATTATTTCTTTACTGCATTCTCCAGGGCTATGTGATATACTCAGTCAGAAAGAAGCTGAAGAAGCAATACATTCATCTACAGGGGAAACAAATAGAGAAACTGAAGAAATCGGGTGTTCAGGTTCATAACTTGTAACATAAGTTTTTGTGTTATGAGTGGTGGCTCAAATAGTTTTCTTGTCTAATGAAAATGTTCATTTGTTAGATAACAGATAGTGTGTTGTGTCCTGAAGTAGCCTTCACAGGAGATACAACATCAGACTTTTATCTTGATCCTCGCAGTGCTGATGCTTTGCGGGCAAAAGTTCTTATAACTGAGGTATAGCTGAATGAATAAACATATAAGTTAATTCTCATAACCAAGTTCAATCAGTGTCCTTTGTGCATTTCAGCATTCGAGTTATTGACATATTTTTCTCTCAAACTAATGCTTAATTGGTCTTGAAGTTCAGATGAATTATCTTGTAATAATCTCCTTTTAACTCCTTTACTGACCAAAAGTGTAGGTATAGGGTTACATATTAGTTTCCTTACATTGATCTATTCTTTGAGGATAGATCCAAACTGTAAGTGCTGCAGCTCTGCTGCTTATCTTGTTAACTTATAAGCTTGTATCTTGATTCTTTTAAAACCTTATTCGTTTTAATCATAATAGGCCTAAAAGGTAAGGTGAAATAGGAAAGGAGAGCAAAGTGGCTTCTTATGTGCATGGTCAGAACATGAGTTGCGTGGTGTACCTTAATGTCCTTATAGTTCTAATGATTTCATTTTAATTTCCTCTTGTTTCTGTGCTATGGAGTTTAATCCGCTATTTTTTACCTTTTTAAATGGTGTATTAGAGGGGAAACATGACAAGTTACTGCAATTCATGCATCAAGTATATATAATTTTTCACTCCAATTGATTGCGTGGCTGTGATTTACAGCCCTAGCATCTTAGGTTGTTAACTGATTAACCTACTATGTTCATCTCTGTCGGGAAATCTGTAAGCTTTCAAATACACAAACCTTGAGGCTGCAGCAACAGCAAAAATGTAAATGATATCCAAAGGATGAAAGTCCATACCGGAAACAACCTCTCTACTCCCTCGGGGTAGGGGTAAGGTTTGCGTACACTCTACCCTCCCCAGACCCCACTTGTGGGATTTTACTGGGTTGTTGTTGTTGATGAAAGTCCATACCGGGGGTCTATCGGAAACGGCCTCTCTACCTTCGTAGTGGTAAGGCTGCGTATACACTACCCTCCCCAGACCCCACTTGTGGGATTACACTGGGTTGTTTGTTATTGTTGATGAAAGTCCATACTGTGTAATGGGATTCCTTGATAGAATTGCTGTGTGTTTAGCAACATATTTGTATGTCAAGTTACCCGATTATTTTCTGCAATGCCATGAAGGGTAGAAACATATTTTCTTCTTTTTGTGTTTATAAAGTGTACAATCAACTTTTTGGAACCCTTTTGTCTTTCTAATGCCCTTTCTTTAGCAGAGTCCATTTAAGGCAAGCTGGTTTATCCTTGTAATGTTGATTGGCTTAGTGAAAACGGAATGGTCAAAAGATATAGCAATTAGAACAATTTCCTCACTTTATGGAACCATTCAGATGCAGCAGTTAGGATAAAGCTTTAATCTCATCTCTAAGATATCATTTCTGCGTTGACAGGCAACGTTCTTGGATGACAACTGCGGAGTTGAGCATGCACGGGAGCATGGTCATACACATCTATATGAGGTATACCTGAGTCATTGAAATACCTACATAAGATTTACCATGATGCTAAATATAGCTCTTCTATCTTTGGCTCGAGCGACAAACTATACTCCCCTTTGACTATTGGAAGGTTTTTGACAACTATAGTCAGTTAATTCTTCCAAATTTTGGAGTTGCAGATAATGGAGCATGCACAATGGATACGGAACAAAACACTTGTTTTAACCCATTTTTCACCACGCTACAATATTGAGGTTGTCAACGCAGTCTCAACATGGTTTTCAGTTTTATTTCTTCCTTATTTTCTCACTTGGATAATGGGAAACCTGAATTCTCCTTAAAAATGGCTTATGTAGCATTTTTTATTAATTACAGGACATTCGTCAAGGTGTATCAAAGTTGCAACCCCAGGTATCAGCCAAAGTGGTTGCCTTAACTGAGGGCTTCAAATCAATGCACTGATAGTCATTCTTTTCCTCTTTTTGTAAGAAAACTTACACATGCCTAGTTAGTGAAACTATGTACACTTTTGGTTTACTTCCAAAGAGTAGTTTTAGGTAGAATTTCGAACAATTGGAATTTGTAGAAAATCCTTAGTCCACACCCAGGGGGAGTGTTGTTTGGTTAGTTGTGAGAAATAGAGGTAATTCATGCTCTTTTACTTTGTACAAGTTTCACCAAGCATCTGTATTATTTTTTACTTGACCAAAATGCACATACATGTTCGTTGATTTAGTACAAACATTTACTTGCTCAATTTATGTATGGACAAATTAGTCGCTCTCCTAGTTGGCTAGTTCTCTCTACACGCCATCCTCCTATATAAAATCATAGGAAAAAGAGAATAAAGTTTTAACATTCACTTTTGTTTCAAACCATATGAATAATGGCTAATTTTTAAAATGTTTTCTCTTGTAATTTCGATATAAGGAAAGTTACAACTTGTAACAATTTGTGAAGTTTTTTGAGTGTTTAAATTTAAATTCTTAAAAGAAATATTAATATTATTTGGTTTAACACTGATAATTGGTTATATAATCACATTGACTCTCTATAAGTAAATTACAAAATTGGGACAGAATTCAACATTGGAACACTGCTAACAAAAGAAATTTAATTTTGCCCAAATTTTACATAGCTGGATAAAGCGAAGTAGCTGATGTCAGGCTGATATATTCAGGGGAAATACACAAACCATTTTTAGGGCTGGTATTTAGAAATTAGCCATTACTTACTTAAAATTTAAACTAAAAATCTTAATTTCAGGATATTTATGTCCCAAAAAACTGAACTAAAAAACTGAAATTCAGGACATATTGGCTAGTGTTACACCCCATGTTTTCGTACGTGAAAGTACGCCATAAGTAAATTGATGAAAGCTCAGCAATGAGATGTTACATTCCGCATTTTCGTACGCTAAAGTTTCGTCGTAAGTTAATTGACGTAGGTTCGGGAATGGGATTATTTTGGGATTATAAGTATTGCGCTATTTCAAACAAGTGATAAGTAAATTTGTGAAGGTGAGAGGGTAAGCGAATCAAAGAAAATGAGTTTCGTTGAAGGTTGTCATTTTGAGATAAAATACTGTCCAAGTTACAATACCCCGTATTTATGGACTAGTGTCATACAAGGTACCACATGACCATAATAGTAAGATGTATAAAGTGTGTTAAAAGTGAGTAGTGTTTTAAGTAATTTGAGATAATTTTTAATTATGTGGATAATTGGGTAATTAATAATTTTTGGTGGGAGTTAGTTAATTAATCACAAAGTTTAAATTCCCCCCTCCCCCAAACCAACGTGACAGCCCACCATTCCAATTAATCACAAATTTTGGACAAGTCTAAATCCCCCTGGCAGCCCACCAATACAATTAGTGACTCTTCAATTAAATTGCAAGGTGGCACATTTGAGATAGTTTGGTGGCTAGGTCATCACCTAATGGGCCCCACACCCACCAAGGTTTAAAAAAAATCCCTCTAAATCATTTACAGAGATTTGATGTCTCTACAATATGAGGGATTAAAGCTTCAGTCAATTCATACAAGGATTCATATGGTTGTGACGCGATTCTCTTGAAACAAAAATTCGAAACAAAAATTCAAACAGATTTCTTAGCATTTTAGCAACGTAAGATTTTACAATTCTAAGGGAGTACGGTACAATCTTTCTCAAGAATATCATACAGATTTTTCCCTACTTCGATCCGCCATTACGTGTTGTCGCAATTGACGCGTGTTGTAGGGATTGTCAAGAGAATCGGCTCAGGTATGTTAAGGCTATCCCTTCTTTCTTTTGGCATGATCCATATAATACAAATGAAACGAGCAAATGCACAGCTTCCATAAATGACACTATTCATAGAAATGCTAGAGATGCCTATGTTCTTGATTCCCCATGTATCCTATTATTCTATCATCTGTTCATGGGTCTCAGAAAATACATAAGTTGATAAAGTTTACTTTATGACATTAATCAAAGGCATAATAGTCTTATGACATTCTGAAAGATTTTGACGTACTTCTCAGGCATTGCATTCATTTATACATGTACATTGACCCACGACCAGATGGCGTTATATACGCGTATATATGTATATGGGATATGAGAAAAGGTTACGGCGTTATATACGCACCACCACTTGATCAGGTGGTATATGTTGATGATTTGCCCACAGTGGCCGAGATGATATGATGAGATGCCCTCAAAGGCTTGATGATATTATGAACGCATATACCTATGTATGATATGACATTTATACGCATATGCATGACATTATAAGTATTAAATGGTTCACAGAACTATTCAGACTTACATGTCGAGCCTTTTAATACATGTTTCTCTCATGTATTTTATTTACTGAATTTCATTCCTTACATACTCGATACATTATTTGTATTGACGTCCCTTTTGTCCGGGACGCTGCGTTTCATGCCCGCAGGTCCCGATAAACAGGTTGAGAGTCCTCCAAATAGGCTATCAGCTCAGCGGAAGGTGTTGGTGCGCTCCATTTGCTTCGGAGTTGCTTATTTGGTCAGTATAATTAGGACATGTATTGATTGGTATGGCGGGACCCAGTCCCGACCTTTATGATACTTATGTACTCTTAGAGGCTTGTAGACAGATGTCATGTATACAGATACTTGTATGGCCTTGTCGGCCTATGTTTTGAGTTTACAAATGATCATGTTGGCCTTATAGACCTGTATGTCACGTGTATAAGTTTCTATATCACGTTGGGTCGTTCTATGCCGATTATTCTCCCATGTTTATTCTGGTTATCTCATGACTCATTTACCGGTGATAGCATGATACAAAAAGATATGTAACATTGGTACTCGGTTGAGTAAGGCATTGGGTGCATGTCGCGGCCATCGGTTTGGGTCGTGACAGCTAGTTCCTAAATAGCAGGCCTTTAGAGTGGCTATCGAGTGTCATTTCTACTATATTGAGTCGCCCACGGGCTGATTAGTACAGGCCTAAGGCCCATTTAGGGTAACCACAACACTGGACTGTAGTGTAGGCCCACACCTTATTGTTCGTGGTGTTAACTTTAAACTGAACGAGTGGTGCAAGTCTGACATACGCAGAGTTTTCTTGTTTCACGGAAACAGTTGGAGCAGAGATTTCATGTTTCTGCAAAAAAGAAAAGAAAAAGGACTCTCCCATGTTATGCACAAGAAAACAGGTAAGTATATGAATATGACCTGTAAAAGAAAAGGAAAAAATGAAAAATGTAAAAGGAAGCTAATTACAATTGTAAATCAGCATGGCAGAATATGACCTACCATCACAGTTTACAGATAGATGTACATACATATTCTCTTTTACCTCCAGCACGAGCGGTGAAAATGAAAGTAATTTGGATCTCTAGACCTGCTACAGAAACAGCTGATGGTAATTATAATGAGCAAAATACATAAAGTTAAAGTGAACAAACAATTTGTTGCAGCAGGATTACAGAAGCAGCAAACCTGCACCAGCATCGTAATCCTGTGTATGTAGACTATGTTACCTATAGCTATCCAATTAAATGTAAATGTCTTTTCCTGCTATGTCCATAAGAAAAAAAAAGCCTATAACTCTATATGTATTCTAGTGCAAAATAAGTGCAACATGTAGTTGGAGGAGCCATAAACAGAGATACAGCATATTATAAGACCTTATTTACAAATAGCTGTATTTTTGAATTGATTTAACTTTCTCGGTGCCAATATCGAAGTTATCATGACAAAACAGATGATGAAGCTTTACTGTAGCAACAACAAAAAGCCACGAATTGTCTTATCTTTGGGACAGTTGACGTTGCAGGAGAGGATCTGCAAATGCAAGCATCATCTTTTTGACTTTTGGAGGCAAATGATGTATAGCATCCAACTGTTGCCCTGGAAAATTCACATGCTTATGAATAAAACACTTTGGAAAGAAATGCATACGCTCCCAACAAGAACACCAAAGAGGTTGGTAATTCAAATCCAGATATGTCAACATTATGAAAATACATCATACATTTGAGGTACTAACAATATAAAATTTAAATGTCCTCACTTACATGCTTCAATTTTTTACAACAATAGAAACCAAAAGGAAACTACTTGGGCAAGATATCTGAAACTAAAAAGTAATGCATTTGAAAAAAAAAAATGGAAGTTTACTTCTTTCCAAGAATATAAGGCTGATAACATAGTTACAATTGCTCAACTGTCTACAGCAATGGAGGTAAACAACCAATACAAAATTATAAACGAAACACCTATTTTCATGCTTGTTACAAAGTTATCCAAGGCAAAACAGGGATGAGATCCAACCATTGCAAAGAAAGGTGAAAGGATGAAATAAAAAATCAACTGACATGAATACCAGTTCCAGCAGAAATTAAAGTCCTCAGCTCAGCTAAATGTTCATCATTTGAAATATGGAGCGAGATGCGAAGATTCGTTAACAATGCTTCTTGGTCCCAACTTAAGGGACCGGAAGCATACAATGCCTCCAAAGTACAGCGATAAGCATGTAACTCCAAACTATGAATACTTGCTGCTATTTTCTCTGGTGAAGAAAGAGGGTGTCTTTCCTCCTTATCTGCTAAATTTCGAAAAGACTCTGCATCACTGCAAAGAAGCTCAGTTCCTTGGCAATAAACTTCTACTGGAGAACAGTTAGAGAATTTATCATTGATACTACAACTACCAACAGAATCACTAGATTCTGTACTTGTGGTAATGAAATAGCCAACATAATCACTTCTTTTGGTTTGCCTCAATGCGCAATATCCATCAGATACAATGTTCAATGAATTATGCACATACTTTTCATCCGTTGTATTCTCCTGAGCAGCTAAATGATCATCCCCAAGAAATTTATTCCTCGCGCTAAGAGACAGGACCTTGCTCACTTTTTTACAAGGTATTACAGCAGAAAGGTGATCAGGTCTCCGACACAGTCCAGATCCCTAAAAGAAGAAACAAACATGTAGTCAACAAACACATCATCAGAGATCAGCTATTTTCAACTCGGAGTAAAATAAAAAGATGACTATGAACAACCAAACAATATAAAAGGGTGACTGAAGAAAAAACGATCAAAATAGAAAAGGGAAAAATTCTCAAACAATAAAGCGAAAAAGGGTGAAATAAAACTGGGAATGCAACCGAGGAGATTGGGAAAAAAGAGATGAACGCTAACAAAAGAAATCATAATGAAATGAATTGGGAGGAGAGAACAGCATTAGGTTTGGGGAAAGGGAGAGGAAGGGAGACTATAAACTAATCAAGTCCTGTTCCTCATCTTGCCAGTTTAGCACTCTGGTCTTTGATCTGTGCACGCAAAGCTCCTTCAGGCATCCAGTCTGACGTACCAAATAGTAGTCTCTATCCAGAACCTTAACAATTGTGCCAGTTTTCCAACAAGATTCATCAAATACCTCCACAACTCGACCAATCTCCTGATTATCCGAACCCTCCACACATGGTGTACAAGATCTGATATCCTTCCTCGACACCCTCTCAATTTCCATTGTTGTGTACACACTACTTTTCATAGTACCGACTACCGAGCCTTAGCCTTTCATCTATTTTCTGGTACCTGTTATTATTTATATAGCTTCTAACGATGATATTGATATATTGTCTTTTTTATTCTTGATCTCCTTGAGCCAAGGGTCTATCGAAAACGGACTCTCTAACCCTTGGAATAGGGGTAAGTAAGGGTATTTATGGTTCAGTTTGGATCGGTTTTTACCTAAAAAGAAACCAAATCAAGTAAGTCGGTTTTCAAATATTAGAACCAAGGTCTGCGTACACTCTACCATCCTCAGACCCTACTTGTGGAATTTTACTTGGTTGTTGTTGTTGTAGGGTTGTATCAGGTATTCTAGGTTTTTTGCACCCACTTTAGCCCCTTTACAATTTTGAATTTAAGAAAATGAGTGTAAAAGATAGATCTCTTACGTGTAAAAATAATCTCCCATGTGTAAAAAAAGAGTTAGGATCATAAAACTAAAAACAAGTTTGTAAAGAGTCAAAAAACTAATTGACCCATGTAATTGTCCAAAAATAAAATAGACGGTTTTCTATGTAGTGTATAGCCAATATTTAAGTTGCATTTTATTCCATCTCTTTCATTTTATGTGATTGTGTTTGACCATATATAGAGTTTAAGATATTAATTTGAATTTATAATATAGTAATATTGATGGAAGAGAATATTAAAGTAGTGGTTGAAAAGAGAGCAAATATGGCATCAAAGTTAAAACATGAATTTAAATTATTGAAAGTTGTGAATGTTGTATAAAAATAAATTTGTGTTAATGTTTTAGAATTTCAAAATAGAAAGAAAAACGGTAAACTAAGCTCCCGCAATGCGCGGGGCATAGGAAAGTGCCGAACCACAAATGTCTATTGTATGCAGCCTTATCCTGCACTTGTGCGAGAAGTTGTTTCTATGGCTCAAACTCGTGACCTCCTGATCACATGACACTCACGAAATAGGAATCATTGAATATCTCAATTTTTATTTCAAAGATCCTGGGGCATGTGACATGTCCAGAATTACAAATTACTAGCTATTAATGAGAACAATCTGGAGATTTAGCTTGTTCTCACAATAATGCAATTTGGTTTTTCGATTATCTACACCTTTATTATGTAGGAAAGTTCAAACCAATGAGCAGTTTAGTGAAGGGTTGATGATCGATATAAGTTTATGTTGCATGAAATCAACCTTTAATCTTTTTTTTCTTTCCCTTAGAGGTCAAACTTTTAAAATTTCTGCTATACTAACAGTCAATATATTATAATACAAAATTTCTCCGTGTTTCACACTTGCATTTCATGAGTACTGTCATGTGCTGCTTTCCATCATCGACCCATGACCCTTTGGACGTGCCCCGTGGCGTCCCGGAAAGCCTCCCAACGCCTAGCGCCACGGTCGGCCCCGTGGTCTCGGTAGCGCCAAGTGACAAGCGCGCATGCGCCTCTGTCGCCCCACCGATAATCAGTGCCAGCGCCCAGCGGCTGGCGAATGCCATCAGTGCCGCGTGCACCGACAATGCCGCGCGCACAAACTATCATGTTACCAACAGCGCCGCACGCACAGACAATGCCCCGCGCGCAGACCCAATGCCAAGCACCAGCGCCCAGCCGCTGGCAGATCCACATAGTGCCACGCGCGCCAACAGCAATGCGCGCGCAGACCCTGATGCTCAAGACAGAGTTGCTGCCATCGGACTTGCTTCCATAGAAGACTAAGTCCTTTTCATTGTAATTATAGAGTAGTTTTACTTCATTCATTTTCAGTGTGCTTCTACAGCTTTCTTAGGTCAACTCATGTAACTTTGGTTTATTTTTTTTAAGCATTATTAAGGGGGACCAAAGCATTCAAACATTCAAGCATTCAAACAATTCTCTGTACTGGTGTCTCTCCCCCCGACAACGCATTGCATCTTGTAATAGCTTTCATCATCATCATCAATACAATCATCAACTTTCATCATCAATTTCTCATTTTCCGCTGCTCAATTGCTCACGACATTGGTTTTTCCGTACGACACTGACAATCTAGTCTAGCGTACGGCGAGGACCTTAGTTGGCGCATAGCAACCGCACTGATATCGGTTGCTTAGCCTTACGTCACCCTTCCAAGGAACTTCAGGAAGGCGTCGCGTAACAGTACATATGATTCATGCAGCAGAAGCAGAATTACAACTTAAACCTTAGCTTCCTAGTGTTGTGATGCTTTAATCATTCCATTTTGGTTTGTGCCAACTTAATTCCTTGAATCCTTGTTATAGTTGCCAGGAACTAGTCATGGCAATGCCAAACAGCTTAGTGCACGTGCAACTAAAATCCTAAAATTGCAATCAGAAGTTAGAAGATTTGACTGCTTAACTTTACTGAAACTAGTTGATTAATTGGTTTGGTTTGTGTCTTCTGGTATCAAATATGCAAGCCTAGTTCAGTTAAGCTCTTAGTTTTCTTGTACTTAGTTGTTTGTTCGACATACTTGAAATGACTGTCCTGCGTACCTGAAACATAAGCACTAGTTTTCTTTGATCTTGCAAAATAAATGACCAACTCCCAAGCTCGGTCTAAAGATTGTTATGTTTTGATTATTTACCGAGCAGGAAATGTTAGCGACATCACCTTCTCAAACATAAACATCAGCACAAGATAGAGCAAAGCCTATTTATGTGTCCAAGAGATGCAACTTCAAAAGCTGGTTCAATCTCCAAGTTGCTATTTGTCAATATCACATTAACGGCATCTTCTTATCGGGGTCGGGAGGTGGAGTCCTGAGCAATCTGAAGTTCATAAATATGAACCTAACGTACAAGAGATGGACAAAATATCCAGATGGATGGGTGGATTACAGGCCAGGATCGGATGCCAAGAACTTGTAAAACACCAAACTGCTGATGGAGCATATCGATGGTTTGGTTTTCGAAAATGTAGTCATGAAATGGTCCAATGAGGTGGAATAATCCTTTGGATTTCAGGCCATCGACTGTAAATAACATTTCTACTCCAGATCTTACCAACAACGAGGGATTAATAGGATGCATTTGTTCTTCAGAAAAATATATAAAGCTGCAAAACACCCCTCCATTTTCCAAAACATAAATGATTTATGTTATGTGCTCATCATGAATGCAAAGTGATGTTGATTTGGATTTGCCCCAGTTGAATTGTACCTCTTAGCATTTGCTTTCACACATGCTACGTAGAATAGAGATGTTGGTGTGATATAAAGATATTATACATTAATATGCATAATAACAAAGTGCAACCATAATTTAAAATTTTTGGGTTTTGAGCAAAAGTTGCCTCGTGGCTCCTTCCTGACACAGTCAAAAAAAACATGGTGAGAAAAACAACTTTTTTTTTTTTTTTTTCTGTACAATTAAGTGTCACACCTCCTTTTTCCCGATGAATAGGTGCCAAAGGAGTTTTTTCAATTTAAGTGACATTATTTGAAAATGAATTAATTTATTTTATTTTTAAAGAGTCGCCACTTGGAATAAATATTTATGGTGTCCCAAGTCACCATTTATTTTAAAATCTCAATTCAAGGAAATTGACTCTGTTTAAGTTTGCTAAATACAGAAGATAGAGTAAGGAATTCTGTTAACCCGGAAGAACGTGTAAGGCACACCCGAGTTCCGTGGTTCTAGCACGGTCGCTTTAATAATTATACATGGCTTAACCAATTCTGGATATTTTAGGTTCTAGGAAACTTTGTGCACTTTTGTCTTAAACCGCTTTTAATTACTTGATTCTTTGTAATTATGAAATTATTTTGAAACGAATCACGCGTACGTGTATTCGTTTTGTTTGGTGTGTCATGAATCATGTCACGCGGACGTGTACACAATTAATAACACTTTATTATTTTTAAGATTGTTTTGTCAAAGTTGCGCGAACACATACTTTGCCTTTAATTTGGGAATCATAATTATACCACGCGGACGTATACATAACCATGATAATTTGATTTAACACATGCCTAAAGTATGCTAGTGATTTGAATGAATTGTTTTTCAAAAAAAAAAACAAATTTAATATTTTTAGTACTAAATTATTTGTCTTAAAAGGCTGCACTATTTAATATGGGCCAGCTTGCTAATTTTACTTATCACAATCTATGGCCCCTTTGATTTCTTCTACTGACTACCACTATTAGTCAAAGACTTAATATAAAATCAAATAATTAACTAATAAAGTAGATAAAACAAGACAACGTGCTAATATAAGATATGAGTAACCTAAGCATACAAACAATAAGATTCGATCCAATTATTTCCAAGACTTTGCTAAATATTAATCTTAAATCCATACCAATTCTGCCATGTCAAGTTTTTAATAAAGAAAGCGAACATGAATCCTTATTTAAAAAACTAACATTTAAGTATTATGTTATATCAACTTTATTTATTTAATTAAGAAAAGCTCAACAATCAAATAAACCAAACAATCAGCCATAAGAGAAAATTTCATTCTCACTAATACACGCAAGCAAAGTATTTGAAACAAACAAGGGTGGATAGAATGGACCTTTCTTTAGCTTTCAATAACAACTTTGCACAAACAAATTTGACATCGGCAAACTTTGCCGCAAACGAAAACAGAAGCTAGAATCTACTTCCGGTAAACTCGAACAGTGGCCTAAACAATCTCGACCCAAACGGGTTGGTTTTTGCTGCCGTTTCATGTGAAAAAGGGGACTGGTTCAAGGTGTTTTTGCTTTTTTTTTTTTTTTTTTGGAAGAAAGGAGCTAATTTTTGGTGATTTTGGGGCTATTTCAATGGTGAGAATGAAAGTGGAGATGAGGTGCTTGGCTGGTTACATGGCTATGAAGGTCGTGAGTTAAAAATGGTGGTGTTCGGCGTGTTTTGGGTTGAGAGCTGCGGCAGTGCATAAGTTTTTCCAAATGACCAGCTTCCTCTTCTTTTTCTTCCGTTCTTTTTTTTTTTGCTTCAGATTCCTCCCTCTTTTCATTTGTGAAGTGTCCAAAATATATAGATGTGTGTGTTGTATAACTGATGTGAGGAAGTGGCGAGAAGAGTGGGAGAAGTGGGAAGTGGGGCGGATATGTGGGGATACGTGAAGGATATGGGAAAAATGGGGATTAGGGTGTTTTGTTTTTTTAAAGTAAAAATAAGATTTTGAATACACTTTAACGTGATTTTACTTCATTTTGAATCTCTTTTTTTTTTTTTGGTTTTTTATTTTAAAAGATAATTAAATTATGAAGATAAGAAGAATAACCAACATTTCTTGCGGTATAGGAAAATTAAATATTTATATGTATTTTAAATGATACTAAGCAAGATTCCATAACTTAGTTATTAAAATTCTTATGAAAGAAATCCTCTATATATATATATATATAAAGCCTATTAAGGGTAATATAAAAATTTAAAATATTAAAATTAGACCTAAAAGAAATATTTATACTAAAATAGTATAGAATTTGGGTGTGTTAAAAAATTAGGTTTTCAAGTTAATCATGTATTTTCATCCATAATGAAAAAGCCATAATTTTACCACCATAGTCCATACACCAACTTTCTGCTCATGTCCGTCAAGTACTTCAACTCTTGTAGCTCTAAGCTCCGATGGTCTCCTATCAGAAGCCTTATTTGAAATGGCCAAACAAGGCCTTGAAATGAAATTCAAGGAATCCGATACTCTGTTAAACCAATGTATAAACCAAAGGGCTATAAGAGAAGGCCAAAGGGTACATACCCACATGATCAAAATTCAAAACCTATTATCAACCTCCAGTGTACCTCAGGACAAGGCTGATCGTTTTCTACATAAAATGTGAGCTTTTAGGTGATGCTAGGTGGGTGTTTGATGAAATGCCTGATAGAAATGTTGTTTCTTCGTCTGCTCTTATTTCTGGGTATGTCTCTGAAGCTCTCCATCTTTTTGTTCAGATGTTGAGATCAGGTACTTCTATTACTTTGGGAAGTACTTACAAATTTACCGATATATCTTCATATCAAACACGCTTTTGCACATTAGAAACTACTTAGTTAATTAAGTGAAAAATGTATTTTGTACCATCTAGCTTAAAAGACAAGTATGAACTGTTAACATGTTAATACTGGTAAGTATGAGGCTTGGTGTTGGTTGATTCAAAAGAAAAAGGAAGAGTGGATATGTAGGTATTGTCTCCTTTTGCGTTTACCGTTTATTTTAGAAACTGGTAGCAATATTGGTAATGAATGAGAGAGAGGCCAGCACTTAAATTTAAATGAAACTTGTGATGAGATAATAGGAAGAATTTGATTTTGTTATCCTCTTCAATGACAATAAGTTGAAGTCTATTAGTTGCCTAAATAACTTCAGAATTTCTTAGTAAAGGGGTCAAGTTTAAAAAAGTTCTTTCTTCCTTCAAATTATTCAGTTGGTCTTGTAAAATGATGGTAAACAATTACATGCATTTTATTGTATTTCTTAAGGTTAAAAAGTAAGGTAAACCATTAGGTTCACTCTTTACAGATTTATTTACTGAGTAACCTTTTTTTTCCCTCCTTTGAGTAGATCATAACCAGAAAAGTTTGCAGGTACTGAGCCAAATGAGTTTACATTTGCAACCGTACTTACATCATGTATTGGCGCCGTTGGGTTTCATTTTGGGAGAAAAGTCCATTGTCTTGTGGTCAAGAGCCCTTTTGAATCACATATATATGTGGGAAGCTCACTCCTTGATATGTATGCCAAAGCTGGCAAAGTCAATGATGCTCGAGATGTTTTTGAACGCCTGCCAGAAAGAGATGTTGTCTCTTGTACTGCTATAATCTCAGGCTATGCTCAACAAGGACTAGATGAAGAGGCACTAGAGCTTTTCCGCAAGTTACAAGCAGAGGGAATGTCTTCCAACTATGTTACATATGCTAGTGTATTAACGGCCTTATCTCGACTTGCTGCGGTGGAACTAGGTAGACAATTGCATGCCCATATTATTCGATTGGAACTACCCTTCTACGCGGTGCTTCAGAATTCTCTCGTTGATATGTACTCGAAGTGTGGAAACCTCGCTTATTCAAGGAGGGTATTCAATCAAATGTCTGAAAAAACTGTGAGCTCCTGGAATGCCATGCTTGTTGGTTACAGTAAACATGGGATGGGAAAAGAGGTAGTTGAGCTCTTTGAAATGATGAGAGAAGAAAACAAGATCAAGCCTGATGGCATCACTCTTTTGGCTGTGTTATCTGGTTGCAGCCACGGAGGAATGGAGGATAAAGGTGTACAGATTTTCAACGAAATAAGTATTGGCAAAGACAGGGTCGAGGTTAGCATTGAGCACTATGGTTGTGTGGTTGATTTGGTAAGTCGAGCTGGCCAAGTAGAAAGGGCCTTTCAATTCATCAGAGAGATGCCTTTTCCACCAACTGCTGCAATTCTGGGTTCACTTTTAGGTGCTTGCTGGGCTCACCTGTGTGTTGATATTGGTGAAATTGTAGTCAAACAACTTTTGGAGATAGAGCCAGAAAATTCTGGAACTTATGTGATCCTTTCGAACTTGTATGCATCGGCAGGAAGGTGGGAAGATGCAAGAAGTGCAAGAGATATGATAAACGAACGGGCCATTGTAAAGGAATCCGGAAAAAGCTGGATTGGTCCTGATCTTATCCATGAAACAGAGAAGGATATAGCAAAATGTAGTGGAATTAGCAGTTAGGATCAGGTAATGTACTTATATTCCTGATTTTAGGTTGTGTGTCTTGTTTGATATGGATGAGAAGTGAAAAAAAGAAAGAAAATGCTGCTAGGACAACTAGCTTTGGCTTATGAACTACTCTGCACATCCTTAGAAAGCATATTCAAGTGAAAATCCATGGAACTCTGCTGGCTGTCAGAGCTGACCCATGTTCCCAAGGTAGAGCTGTGAAGGAGAATCAGTTGCAAGAGGCACAGCTCAGTTTGATGATTTATTGGGTATATCCATATGGAGACTACTAGTAAAAGAATTCCAGTCTTGCTGAATTTCTGCCCAATGGGTGGATGGGATAAAACATATCGGTAGGGGTAGGGATGGCAATGGGGTGGTGCGGGTTAAAGACTTTGTGAGGCGAGGTGAAGTATGAATGCGGTGCGGGTTCAAACAATTTTCTTAAAATCAGAGAGGGCAAAGCGGTTGCGGGTTAAGACCCCTTTGTTTTGAACTACACATCTAGACCTACTACTTCCTTCTCTGTTTCTCTGGTCTCCGTAGATTTTTGCCTATTACAGCTGCACTGTTCTCGACTCTCATAGTCTCATTCTCTCTCTGCGCTCTGGTTTCTCCGTCCCTCTTTGCCTTTGGTCTCGCCATCTCGCTGTCTTGCCGGTAATAGTCTAACTCTACTACTTCGTTCTTCTTTTTCCTATTATTACAGAATTTTTTCTTGCTTGTGATCCGAATCTAACCCTATTTGAACCCACAATTGTTTCTGACGAGAGATGTTAGGCTTTCATCATCTAGGATCTCTTTTGTGTCCCTTTAATTTTTTGGGTTAAACCATTAAATTATTTATACATGCATTCACTATCATGAAAATACACAAAATGCAAACAACAAACATACAACCAACAAATTGTGGAGCAGAAGCTGAAGTTGGCTGCTAAAAACGTGAAGCTGATCTTGTATTTGTCTCAGGAACGAACTTGGAAGAAACCCTGCATTTTTTGATTTCTTGTTGACTGCCTTAACTCAAAGATTTTTAATTTTTTGGTTTCCAAGTAACATTTTTCTGGATTTGCATAGATTGTTGTTAATTTGATTGTCATTATTGAGTGTATTTGAATCAGAGGTTGTGTCGAAGTTCGTTATATGGTTGAATGGGGTTGTTAATTTGGTTGTCATTATTGAATTCCCTTTTCTTGTGTTTATGTGTTTATAGATAAGTATGGAGTCTCAAGATGAAGAAAATTCAATGGTTTCATCTTCTAGAACTTTTCCCATTGAAGATGAGAGCCAAAGACCGACTCAAGCTAACAGAGCTATTGGAACTAAAAATAAGAAATTGACTTTTAAAGCACAACATTTTAGATTGGTGATGATCAATGGTGTTTTTTTTGGTGATTGTTAATATTGTAATACTCGTATCATGACAACTAGGAAAAGTGGGACAAGCTAGATATTTGGCCATATTGCTAGCATTACTAGAAATTGGATTTTGGTCGGTTTTTCAAAATATTTTATTTTTTAATTTTTTTTATGAAACCGATCAACTTTGGTCAGTTTTCTTTGGCGCAAAAATGCGAAAAACTATTTTTTGAGTCCCGCGAAATTTATTTTTTAAGAAACCGACTAACTTTGGTCGGTTTTTCAATTAAAATAAATAAAAATTAATATTCAAAAAAACTGACCAAAATTGGTCGGTTAATTCGGCCGGTCATATAAAAAAACCGACCAACTTTGGTCGATAATTTTACTTTTTAATAAAACCGACCAACTTTGGTCGGTTATTTTCGTGCGAAAATACAATTAAAGAGTATAAATCAAATAAAAAACAGTCTTAAAATAAAATGCACCAATGGTCTAGTAGTAGAATAGTATCCTGCCACAATATAGACCCCGGTTCGATTCCCAGATGGTAAATCTTTTGATTACATAATTAAAATACCGATCAACTTTGGTTGGTTTTTTTTTTGCAATATTTTTTTTTTGAATTTAATTGATCGACTAAAGTTGGTCGGTAGTCGGTATTTCTTTTCGACCCCTAAAATACCGTCCACACGTAAATGGTCGCGTTTTGATCGGTTATTGGCCTTTACCGACCAACTTTGATCGGTTTTTTTGGTCGGTTTTTACCGGATTTCTAGTAGTGTAGTTGTCCTAATAAGCGACAAAACTTGGATAGTAAGGGTAGTCGGGGCTGATAATGGTAGCAAACAAAATTATTTTGATCAAGATGTTTCACGTAGAAAACTTGTTCATGCCATCATTTTCATGAGTATCCATTGTCCATTGTTGATCATGTGGGATTTAGGAAGTTTGTTGCTAGTCTTTGGCGTTGTTCTAAACGGTTTGAACGAATACAATCATGATTGACATTCTGAATATTATTGACAATGTGAAATAAAAAGCTTCTAAGTTACTGAAAAGCACCACTAGTAGAAGTGCAATAACAATTGATATGTGGACTATATGTAACAACAAAAAGGGTTTGTGGCTATTATCTGACATTATATTGAGGATTCACGAGACTTCAAAGCCATATTATGAGCTTTCATGTTCCTTCTCCACACGGTAAGGCTACTTTGTGTTATGTATTGCTTAATTATTTGTATTAGTGAATTCTTGAACGGGAATATCAACCATTACAATTGATAATTCTAGCGTAAAATGCAAATGTCATGATGAGAGTCTTATTAGATGAGAAACTTTGTAAAAAAGATTTATTATTGATGGATTGAGTGTTTCACGTGCATTATGCTGCACATGTTTGAATTTGATTGTGCAAGAAGGGCTAAATGTTATAGGAGATAGTACTCATAACATGTGTGACAGTGTTTCATACTGGATATGGTTATCAGGCAGAATTGAGGCGTTTGAAGAATTCACATATTTACTACACAGTTACAACAAGTCCAGTGTAATTTCACAAGTGGGGCTTGGAATTTACTATACAATTCTTGTAATAAAAAGTTTTTGTAGAAACTCAACATATCTAATGTTGAGAACCATAAAATATAAAGAGGTGTTTCAAAAGTTAAGTCTAATTGACACCAATCATCCGTGTTTTTCAACCGATGGGCAATGGAGTGAAGCAAAAGATGTTTGTAATAAGTTGAAGCTCTTTTACTTTATCATTGAACAATTTTCATGACTCCAATATCCGATTTCAAGTCAATACTTTTTAAAAATTTGTTAAGCGAGATTTATAAGCATGCGTGAAAAGCTTTAATCCTTTTATTTTGGGAAAATGCATAAGTACCCCCTGACCTATAGCCGGATTCCCAACTACACACTCTACCTTTGCAGGGTTTTTATTACCCCCTAAACTATTTTAAAGTAAAATTATTTGCACCCTTAAAGTTGACGTGACAGAGTGTGTATATTTCACTGGAAGAGTAAGAAGCAAGAAAAAACAATTTTCAGATTTTTCTTTTTGTTTTTTTTTTAAAACCATTTTTCTTACCTTTTTTCCTTTTCCTTTTCCTTTTCTTTTTCTTTTACTTCTTTTTTCGTTTCTTCTCTAATTCCAGCGGATATTCATTCGCCGGCGACTTTGTCCAACCATTTTTCTTCCATTTAATCTGTTTTTCTTTATCCTCTTTCTATCCTTTCACACACAAATTAAACTCTCAAAAATATCTATTCATAAGCAAAGCAAAATGCACTCAGATTTGGGGAAAAAAATTCATCATCGGAAAATCATCCCACGCCGGAAAAAATTGAGGTATTGAAATTTTAACAGAAAAAATCTTCTTCTAACCTAGCAGATACACGTATACTTCACACACAAACCTAAAGCAAATAAAAGGAATATATTGAGAATATATTACTTTAAAGTGAAAATTATGATTCAACTATTATCAAAGCATTGCTTTGACAGGAATTGTTTTGTGCGAATCTGCTACTGTCTATGTTGGAGGAAGTTATCGGAACACCATTATTTCCCCTACTAACAAAAAAGAGTAAGAAAAGAGAAAATAAAAGAAAAAGAAAAGAAATGAAAGGAATAGTATAAACAAAAGAAAAAAAAAACGAACTAAAAAAAGATAAAACGCTTGCCAGCAAAACTATCGGAGAAAGAAACGGAAAATAATTGGTGACGGAGGGAAGAAAAATTGTCGAAATCGTCGGACAAGCGACTCCAAGAACGAAATGAAGAAGAAAGGAAGGTGGAAAAGAAAGAAAATGAAAAAGAATAAGAAAATTAAAAAAATGAACTTTACACTTGGCAGGCGCGTGTTTTTCACGACTTGATACAAACCTGGTTATGATCTTTTAAAGAGAAATTTATTCCATTTTAAAATAGTTTAGGGGGGTAATAGGACCCCTGAAAAGAAAAAATGTGTAGTTGGAACTTCGGTCATAGGTTAGGGGGTATTTATGCATTTTTCCTTTGATTTTTTTGTGGATTTCTAGCAAGAAGAAAGGCTTATGTATTTATGTGTATATTTTTACATCCCATGAGAATAGATACTTATACAATGAGTCCTACGACTAAATAAGGAATGACTATCAATTACACATCAAATACAATCAATTATAATGAAGGAAAATATTCTAGTATCAATTTACTCCTACAATTAAGCTAGGAAATCTCTAATCAATCAACAATTTTTAACATTGCCGATGCCATAGCACTAATAAAAGGATTAAAGCTTTTTACCCATGCATCTAATTCTAGCGTAACTCCACAAACTTTGAAAAGTATTGACTTGAAATTGGATGGTTAACTTCTGAAAATTGTTCAATGATATGGTAAAAGAGCTTCAACTTGTCACAAACATCTTCGAATTCACTCTATTGCCCATTAGTTAGACTCAACTTCTGAATCTATGGTTGTTCTCAACACTAATATGCTGACTAGGGCAATCATATAACCCCTCTGTTTCAATTTAACTGTCTTAGTTTGACTAAGTATGAAGTTTGAGAAAATAAGGAATACTTTTGAATCGTGTGGTCTTAAACATGCCATGTAAAATACTGGAATTGGAGAGCTAAAAATTTGAAAAGAGGCATTCTTTTTGAAACATACTAAAAAAAAAGTAAGATACTTAAATTGAAATGAAATATGCTAAAAAATAAGTAAGATACTTAAATTGAAACAAGGAAGTAAAACTTTTGTTACAAGAATTGTGTAGCAAAACATGTGGCTCCTTCAAACCTTTCAATTATGCCTGGTGACCTATGTTGCGCGGACTCTCCAAAAATGCTGCCACACTCATATCGGATCCTCCAAAAATGCACTACTTTTGGAGGATCCGGCATGCACATTTTGGAGAGTCCAAGCAACATAGCTGGTGATTTTATCTAGTATTCATGTACGTTGCTAATACTATCTCCTATTACCTTAAGCCCTCGTTGTGCAATCAATTTCAAAATACGTGCAAACACAATACACATGAAACAATCGACCCATCAACAACAAATTACCTTTACTAAGTTTCTCATCCAATAAAGTTTTTATCATAGCCTTTGTTGTGCTAGAATAATCAGTTATAAGATATTCTGCGTTTAAGAATCCACTCAAGCAATTAAGTAGTGCATTACATGAAGTATCTCTTTCATGTGGAGTAGGAACATATACGAATCTCAAAATATGGCTCTGCAGTCTCCATGAATTTTCTGATAATAGTCACAAACACTTTTTGTTGTTATCTGAAGTCCATATATCAGTTGTTATAGCAATTATGCTAGTGATAGTTTTCAATAACTTAGACACTTTTTATTCTAATTGTCAAAATCTTCATAATGTCATTCTTGATTGTATTCCTTGAAATCATTTTGAACAACGAACTTCCTAAACCCTATAGGATAAATAATGGACAGTAGATATTCCTTCAAAATGATGGCATGAGCAAATTCTCTACGTGAAACATCTTGATCAAAATAATTTTGTTGGCTTCTATTATCACCTCCAGGACACCCTCATTTTCCAAGTTCCTTGGCTTTATCGGGATATCTAGCAATATGTTCTAACATAGAGCTTTTTACCCATTTCTTAGTTGTTTTCTACGAGTATTACAATCATCAATCTAAAATATTGCCATGCTTTATTAGTCAACTTCCTTTTTTTAGTTTTAGTATCTTCATTAGTTTAAGTAGGCCTTTGATTCTAGCCTTCAATGGGAAAGTAACTGGTCTCATTTCCGGGTATTCTCAGAGAGGGCATGTCACTGAACTACTGAAGTTCTCGTCCCTTTTGTTGAGATGCTTTTATTTCTGTGGAAAGTACTTACCGTTTACCCATATATATCTTCATAGCAGTTCTGCATTGCAAGAGAGACAAACTCTTGCACCTTAGAGTCATGTTAATTAAGTTGAGAAACTGGTTAATTTAGTTGAAACTTTATTTTATAGCATCTAGCTGAAAAGGCAACTATATACTTTAACAAGTTAATACTGATAAGCATGAGCTCTCTTGTGTTGGTTGTCTAAAGAAAAAGAAAGTGTGAATATGTAGGAACTGTCTCCTGTTGTCTTCACCATTTATTTTAAAAACTGGTGACAAATTGGCAATGAGGGAGAGAGCGAGACTAGCACTTACAATTTGATGAACTTGTTATGAGATAATAGGAAGAACTTGATTTTGATTTCCCTTCAATGAACATAAGTTGAAGTATATTAGTGACCTATATAAGTTAAGCATTTCTCAGCTAAAGGATCATGTTTGAGAAATTCTTACTTCTTTCGAATCATTCAGTCGATAATTTAGTGGACCACTTAATGTTAAAAAAGTATGGTAATCTATTGGGTTCACTCTTGAAAGCTTTCATTTTTGGTCCTTTCAGTAGATCATAACCTGAGGTACTGAGCTAAATGAGTGTTGCAATGGTGTTTACATCATGTAGTGGTGCAGTTAGGTTTCACTTTGGGAGACAAATCCACTGTGTTTTGTGGTCAAGAGTCCTTTAGAATCGACGCTCGATGTGTTCTTGAAGGCCTGCCAGAAAGAGATGTTGTCTCCTGTACTGCTTTAATCTCAGACTAGATGAAGAGGCACTAGAGCTTTGATATTCGCATTGTGGTTCTTGCATATAATAATGGACTCCTAAAGCAGCTGTCAGCCATTTAGTAGAACAAGGAAGGAAACTGGACCTACAGAAACCACATGTATCAGTTGCCAATGATTACAAATCTCATAACCAGGAATTATCATCACTTGAAATGCTGAGCTATTTTATCCAAACCAGGTTGATTGGTTTCAGTGTGCAGATTTTCACAAACATAATACAGAAGTTATCCTGTTTCTTCTGAATATACTTGTTTGGAGAAATACTGATTGAATGAATACTTATTGGTGGCTCAAATAAGTGGAGACCATCCCTTCCATGCACTTCCCCAGACCCCACTTGTGGGATTTCCCGTGGCTTCTTCTTCTTCTTCTTGTTGTTGTTGTTGTCGTCGTCGTCGTCGTCGTCATCCCTTCCATGTACCATTTGGGACACCGTATAATCATGAACTAAACTAAACTCAAATTTGTCAATTTCTAAGGTAAACTAAGTTTAGGATTCAACAACATATTATGAAATTGATTTGCATGATATAAGCTCTAATTTGCCATTACAGAAATAAAAGGTTTAATGTGAAGGGAAAAAATTAACAAAGTATGCACAAACTTAGCTAACTGCCAAAAAAAAAATAAAATGAAAGAAGTTATTTTGTTTGCTTGGTAAATCTGCTTATTTTTCATGTTGAATTTCTTTACTTTGGAGATATGTAACTGTTATCTCTAAAACGTATTCTTTTCTTAGAAAATCTTGAGATTCTGGCTCTTCAGTCATCGTCAAATTTTAATTTGGTTTTCATGTTTTGGTGTAACACCTTATTTCAGTATAAAAAGAGCAAGTTTCACACGATTAAGATATATTAGAAATTTGTTTTAAAAGCACAATTATCTTTCTTTTTTCTGTTGTTCTATTGGTTGGAAGCATTGAAGAAAATAATTTCAACATAACATTTGCACAACCCCGTTCTTATTTGCCCCGGCGATGGATGCACTAACACACCATATTCAAGGGGAGGTGCCATGGTGTATGTTGTTCGCGGATGATATAGTTCTGATTGATGAGACGCGAGGCAACGTTAATGAGAGACTGGAGGTATGGAGGCAGGCCCTGGAGTCTAAAGGTTTCAAGTTGAGTAGGACTAAGACGGAATATCTGGAGTGTAAGTTCAGCGACGTGACTGGGGAAGCGGACGTGAAAGTAATGCTTGATTCACAAGTCATCCCCAAGAGAGAAAGTTTCAAGTACCTAGGGTCAATTATCCAGGGGGATGGGGAGATCGACGAGGATGTCACGCACCATATTGGGATGGAGTGGATGAAATGGAGGTTAGCGTCTGAAGTCACGTGTGACAAGAATGTGCCACCGAAATCTAAAGGTAAGTTTTATAGAGCGGTGGTTAGACCGACTATATTGTATGAGGCTGAGGGTTGGCCAGTCAAGATTTTACATACCCAGATGATGAAAGTAGCATAAATGAGGATGTTGAGATGGATGTGCGGGCACACTAGGCTGGATAAGATTATGAATGAAAATATTCAGGAGAGGGTGGGCATGACTCCTATGGACGACAAGATGCGGGAAGCAAGGCTTAGATAGTTCGGGCACGTGCGGGGGAGAAGCCTAGATGCCCTGGTTAGGAAGTGTGAGCGGTCGGCTTTGACAGGTATGAGAAGAGGTAGAGGGCGGCCTAAGAAATATTGGGGCGAGATGATCAATCAAGACATGGCGTGGCTTCAGATTTCCAAGGCCATGACTCTTGATAAGATGGTGTGGAGGTCGAGCATTAGAGTTGTAGGTTATGGGGCAGTCGAGCCCGTTTTTCCTCTTTGTACCAGATAGTTTCATAGTATTTTGTCTAGGACTGCTAGTGACTTATGTTGTGTTATTGTGTTATTGCCCTTCCATTTATTTGTTATATCTTACGTTGCTGATATTATTATTTTTTCTGGTTTTTGTTGTTGTTACAGATCTATTGTCTCTTTTCATTTTCTTGAGCTAAGGGTCTTCCGGAAACAGCCTCTCTACCCCTCCGTGATAGGGGTAAGATCTGCGTACACTTTACTCTCCCCAAACCACACTAGTGAAATTATATTGGGTTGTTGTTATAACATCTGCACAACATAACACTATCATGTTTGGGGATTAGAAAAGTAATCCCTACATAATTTTTTCGGTGTTTGATTGGCCGCATGAGAAAAAGTAGTTCCCCCAGTCTTATGTTGGTGTTATTAAATAATACTCATGTTAAGTTAAAATGCACTTAATATAAGTAATCTCGACTAATATCTTAATTATTAATCACTATATAACGTTTTCTACCTTATTAACATTTTCCACATTTCCCTAAAATATTATTTATTGATAAATAATTTCTACATTATAATACCGTAGCTAACATGTGAATCAAACGAATCACTTAGGGGTCGTTTGTTATGATGGATAAGCAAAAATAATTTTGAGATAAAAATTTAGTACCGCCTTATCCCTTATTTGGTTACTAATTCTGGGATAAGTTATTCTAGGATAAAAATAAGTAACAGAATAACTTATATCTGCCAAAGGGTGAAATAGCAATCTAGGATGAGTTATCCCATGATAAAACAGTAAAATTAATAATCTCATGATTAATACAACATATCAAACAGTCAATAAAAAAATTATACCAGATAACTTATCTCAACATGATTAATCCCAACATAACTAATCTACAACCCCTTATATCACAAGTTTACAAGTTTTAATGGTAAGTGTTTTTACCTACTAAATAAGGAGCCTCCATGTGTATTTTATTCACTTGATATAAAGAGCCACATGGACTAGAAAACGATGCCGTTGAAGCCGTCCGGAACCAAAGTGTGGTTCTTTTGGACTCAAAGAACCATAATATGTGAAAAAAAACTGGGTACCATAATATATATAGCACAGTATTTCACCGCGCTATACCTTAACGTCACATTTGTCCGTTAAGGTATAGCGCGGTTCAATACTGCGCTATAATTAAGTATTGGGCCCACAAATAATCCTTCTGTGCTTAAAAGGCACAACAATAATTCAACTGGGTATAACGCCCATATTTAAGGCGATACTTAAGTATTGGGCCCACAAATAATTGTTCTGGGCTTAAATGATACACCAATAATTCAACTGGGTATAGCGCCCATATATAAGGCGTTATACCTCAAATCATTGTACCCCCCAGACTGGTTTTTTCCCTATTCAAAGAGTTTCAGGATTTTGTAAAAATCCATTCAGAATCCTTCAAGTCTTGTGAAATATTTGTTCGTTAAATATTTGTTCGTTAAGTTATTTTGCATTTTGTCATAATGTCTGAAGAGCGAAGAATTAGGGTTTCATTATATTGGGGGTGAGGTTGTGGTGGAGAATAACTCAGTATACTATAGTTGTTCTCCACAGTGTCATGTTAAGTTTTCACTTACAATGAAATACGATACATTGGTATCGTTGTTATGTAAAACAATGAGTGTGAGAAAACGTTCGGTGAATATTAAAGTAACCAGAAGATATCTGTAGGCAGGGTGATTGCATATGCGTCGCGATAGTTGAAAATTCACGAGAAGAATTACCCTGTTCATGACTTAGAATTGGCAGCCATTGTTCATGCGCTGAAGATTTTGAGGCATTACCTTTACGGTCTCTGGTGTGAGGTATTTACTGATCATCGTAGTCTACAGTATCTGTTCAAACAAAAAGATCTCGATTTGAGGCAGAGAAGATGGTTGGAGTTGTTGAAGGACTATGATATCACCATTTCGTATCACCCCGGAAAGGCCAATGTGGTGGCCGATGCTTTAAGTAGAAAGGCTGTGAGTATGGGCAGCCTTGCATATATTCTGGTTGGTGAGAGGCCGTTAGCTACAAATGTTTAGACTTTGGCCAATCAATTAGTGAGGTTAGATGTTTCAGAACCCAGTCGGGTTCTAGCCTGCACAGTCACTCGGTCTTCTTTATATGAGCGCATCAGAGAGCGACAATATGGTGATCCTCATTTGCTTGTCCTTAAGGACACGGTGCGGCACGGTGGTGCCAAGCAGGTTGATGTGGGAGATGATGGAGTTCTGCGGATGCAGGGTCGCATTTGTGTTCCTAATGTGGATGAGCTTCGTGTATTAATTCTTGAAGAGGCCCATAGTTCCCGGTATTCTAATCATCCGGGTGCCGCCAAAATGTATCAAGATTTGAGACAACATTATTGGTAGAGGAGAATGAAAAAGGATATAGTTGCATATGTAGCTCGGTGTCAGAATTGTCAGCAAGTTAAGTACGAGCATCAGAGACCTGGTGGTTTGCTTCAGAAGTTAGAAATTTCTGAGTGAAAGTGGGAGCGTATCACTATGGGTTTTGTTGTTGGACTCCCATGAACTTAGAGAAAGTTTGACGTAGTATGGGTCATTATGGACAGGTTGACCAAGTTAGCACATTTCATCCCAATGGCAATTACCTATTCTTTAGAGCGGTTACCTGAGATTTACATCCGCGAGATTGTCCGCCTTCATGGTGTGTCCGTGTCTATCATTTCTGATCGAGGTATACAGTTCACCTCGCATTTCTGGAGGGCTGTACAACGTGAGTTAGGCACGCGGGTTGAGTTGAGTACAACATTTCATCCATAGACAGACGGACAGTCAGAGCGCACTATTCAGATATTGGAAGATATGCTTCGCGCTTGTGTTATAGATTTTGGAGTTTCTTGGGATCAGTTCTTGCCACTTGCGGCGTTTGCCTATAATAACAACTATCAGTCGAGCATTCAGATGGCTCCATATGAAGTATTATACGGGAGACGGTGTCGTTCAGCAGTTAGATGGTTTGAACCGGGAGAGGCTCGGTTGTTGGGTACCGATTTGGTGTAGGATACCTTGAATAAGGTCAAGATTATTCAGGATCGACTTTTCACAGCTCAGTTTAGGTAAAAGAGTTATGCCGACCGTAAAGTTCGTGATGTTGCATTCATGGTTGAAGAAAGAGTATTGCTCCGGGTTTCACCCATGAAGGGTGTAATGAGATTCGGAAAGAAGGGCAAGTTGAGCCCTAGGTATATAGGACCCTTTGAAATTCTTGAAAGGGTGGGTGAAGTAGCTTACAGGCTTGCATTACCACCTAGTTTATCAGCAATTCATCCGGTGTTTCATGTGTCCATGCTTCGGAAATATCACGGTGATCCGTCCCATGTGTTAGACTTCAGCTCAGTCCAATTGGACAAGGATTTGACTTATGAGGTGGAGCCGGTAGCTATTCTAGCCCGGCTAGTTCGATAATTGAGATCTAAGAATTATCCTTCAGTTCGGGTGCAATGGAGAAGTCAGCCGATTGAGGAAGCTACCTGGGAGTCCGAGTCGGACATGCAGAGTAGATATCCACACCTATTCACCAACTCAGGTAATTTTCTAATTCCGTTCGAGGACGAACGCTTGTTTTAAAGGTGGAGAATGTGATGACCCAATATGTCATCTTTAATTTTAAATATTCATTTCTTTGTTCTGAGAACTCGAAAAGCACTATTCAGTATTTCTCGACTTGCGTGCGCAGTCCGTAAATTTTTTCGGAATGTTTTTATATGAAAAATTAATTAAAATGTGAAATAGAGTTTTAAAACTCAACTAAGTTGACTTCGGTCAACGTTTTGAGCCAACGGACCCGGATAAGTATTTTAACAGTTCCGGTAGATCCGTATCGTAATTTGGGACTTGGGTGTATGCCCGAAATCGAATTCGAAGGTCCCTAACTCAAATTATCGGCATTTAACGGAAACTAGAAATTTAAAGGCTTAAGAATTCTTAAATTTGGTCATAATTGGTTTTTTGTTGATACCTGGTCCCGATTTAGATTTCGAGAGTTCGATCAGTTTCGTAACAATATTTATGACTTATGTACAAAATTTGATGTTATTCCGAGGTATGTAGGCATGTTTTCCGTTAGTTTTTGAAAAACAAATAATAAAAGGTTTGATTTTATAAAGTTTGAATTTCTAAAGTTTGACTGGAGATTTGACTTTTGAGCAAACGACCCCGAAATAAAATTTTGATGATTCCAATAGTTTCGTATGATGATTTCGGACTTAGGTTCATGTTCGGATTTGAATTTGGAAGTCCGTAGGACAATTCGGCACATTTTGGCGAAAGTTGGATAATAAAAGATTTTTGGAAAGTTTGACCGGGAGTTGACTTTATTGATATCGGTGTCGTAATTTGATTCTGAAAATTGGAACAGCTCTATTATGTCATTTATGACTTGCATGCAAAATTTGAGTTCATTCCAAATTGATTTGGCATATTTCGGCGCGAGTTATAGAATTGAAAATTTCATAAACTCATAAGTCCGAATCGACGCGCGATTTGTAATTTCGCCATTGTTAATGGTTATTTGAGACCTAGAGTAGGTCCATAATATGTTTTGAGACTTGTTGGTGTATCAGACGGGTTCCCGAGGGGCTCGGGTGAGTTTCAGGGTGGTTTCAGACCATTTCTAGGCCATTTTTAACTGTTGGTTTTTGGCTACAGCAGTGTGCTATGCGATAGCGGGTAATTGGCCACGATCGCGATGAGTAAAAAAATGCTAGAAAAATTTTGTGCTTCTCAATCGCGGGAGTTTGGCCGCGATCGCATAGGGTAAATGATTGGATAACAGAACTTAAGTTCTGGAAATGGGATTTCGCTCCATTTTTCATTATTCACGATTTTGAGCTCGGGTAAAGCGATTTTTGGGTGATTTTTACGGAAAAATATTGGGGTAACTGTTCCTTATCCTATATTGATTATATTTCATGATTTCATACTCATTTACATCATGAATCCGTGAATTTATGGAAGAAAAATCAGATTTTTATAAAATCTTCAAAAGATGTCAAATGAAGATTTGAAGGTCAATCCGATGTCGAAATTCGATAATTTTTGTATGGTTGAACTCGTATCGGAACAGGTGTTCGAATTTAGTGAGTTTTTTCGGGATTCGAGACGTGGGTCCTAATGTTAATATTTAAAATGAATTTCGGATTTTAATCCGAAAAAATTGTAAATTCATTTAAAATTAATTCCTACGATTTGTGTTGAGTATATTGAATTGTTTATGACTAGATTTGAAGCTTTTGGATATAAATTCGCGAGGCAAAGATTTATTGGAATCTTGAATTTGATTGCGAAGCGAGGTAAGTGTCGTGGTTAACCTTGACTTGAGGGAATAGAACCCTTGAATTATTGTTACGTGAATTTCATGTGTAACGATGTATAGGCAAGGTGACGAGTGCCTATACTTCGTGAAATTGATTGTTTGCATATTTATATAGAAATCATAAACTATTTTCTTTATCATGAGTTAATTATTATATTAATTGTTCTCTCATATTCCTTGTCAAATATTAATTCTTGAATTCATGCAATAATTGTTACATGCTTATTTGATTTATGTGTCTTAATTGTTACTTGACATTTAGCATATTAAATATAAAATTGCCTATCTTCTCCTTGATTTTCCACAATTAATTGCTACTTGTCATTACTTGTATCCTGAATAAATTATAATCATTGTATGCCTTGTTGCCTAATAATTTCTTATTGAATATGGTATTTATTGGAGTATTTTTATTACATTTAAGAGTTGTTAATTTATATTGTTGGAGCGGGTTGCACGCCGCAACATAGATGAAAATGAATATTATTGGGGGATCGGGTTGTACGCCGCAACATATTATATTTTAAGTTTATATTGTTGGAGTAGGTTGCACGCCGCAACAGAAATTTATTGAAGTATTATATTGTTGGAACGAGTTGCACGCCGCAACAGAATGAGAAAAAAATTAATTGATGGTGACTGCTGAAATGATTTCAGTTATTGATATGATTTACCTGTCTCACTTCTCTCCCTGTTATTATTACTATTATTGTGTAGAAGTTAATGTAAGCGACTTGCCATAGCCTCGTCACTATTTCGTCGAGGTTAGGCTCGGCACTTACAGAGTACATGAGGTCGGTTGTACTCATACTACACTCTGCACTTCTTGTGCAGATTTTGGAGTTGGTCCCAGCGGCGTAACATTGACTAGCTCGGATTCAGCTATCCAGAGGAGACTTGAGGTATAACTGCACATCGTCCGCAGTTCTGAAGTTCCTTTCTATCTTATCTTAGCTGTGTATTATCTTTCAAACAGCTTGAATTTAATTCAGACCTTTATTTTAATTATTCTAGTAGCTCGTGCACTTGTGACACCAGATTTGGGGATGTATTTGGATGGTTCGTTTGTTATGGTCTTCCGTACTTTATTTCAATAATGAACTTCAGTTTAATTTAATTTGTTTAAAAATGGTTAAAATTATTCTAACGTTGGCTTGCCTAACAAATAAAATGTTAGGCGTCATCACGGTCCTGAATATGAGAATTTCGGATCGTGACAGCTAGTAAATGTCGTGTGATATGTTAAGCGATAAAAGTGAGAATAGTTAAACTCTGGAGTTGGCAAACTGATTCACATGTTTAGGAATCTCTGTATGTATGCCTATTACCAGAGAGAATCTCTGCACGACGCCACAATGCACAGGTGACTTCTTCGTGTTTATTACCTCCACTTTGCTTCCCCTTTCAAATCTCATGTTTTGTATAACTCAGCTCAAACCCCAAAACCTTATTATTACAAAACCACATTATAACTACAACATATTAGTTGCTAGTACAGAACCATAATGAGAATCAAAACTTCAAATCAAAACTGGTAGTTTGATATTATGCCTTGGATTAAATCTACAGAGATATTATATTAAAAACCAACAGCATATTATCATCAGTAAATTTTAAGATTTACATTAAAAGACATAGAAAATTAACAAGTACTTATTTAGATGGTAGTAATAGTTTATTGATTCAGGGTCTGAATAGATGATCACGCACACACAGAAAAAAGGATCTTTAACAAACAAAAAAGGAATCTTTAAAATATTGCAAGCTTAAAAAATTCAAAAAACCACCAATTCCATAAATGTTGAAGTACCTAAATAACATTCATAAAAATTATAACAAAATATATTGTTTTGATCAGTAAAATAAAATTTTAAATAGAAAACTAGCTTAGGCACTGAGCAGAATATACATATACAACTGAAAAAAGAAACTTCTGAAAAAAACAAAAAAATCTGAAAAGGAAAAATAAAACACAACAAATGAATTTCAAGAAATGATCACAACATACAAACAAATTTAAACAAAATTTGAAGTAAATGATAGGACAATTAGGGATTAAAAAAATCGAAAATAGGGATCAAATTACGGACCTTTTTTTATTTTAAATTGAAGCAATTTTCCGGCTTATGAAGACGTTGGTCATAAATTGAATTGTTCCCTCGAGGAATCAAATGAGTTTTTCGGATTTGAGTAAATTGTAATTTGTGTTCTAGGGTTTGGTTTTGGGGAAAAGAATATTCAAGAAAATATTCAAAATATATATTACGTAGAAAGGGTATTATTGGAAAACAATAGGATGGTTTGGTTAAAAAATTCGATCCATCAGAAAAATTAAGGACCCACCATCCCAATGCACTTTTTCCTTATTTATTACGAATTATTTTAATATACAAATAGGCGTATTCTCCTTTTTTATTTTATTTATTTTTATTTATTATATATTTCCCATAGAATGTTCAGTATCCGTATCGGGACCCCGACTAATTTGGATTCGTGTTGAGTAAAGAATATTAAATGAAAAAATGCTCCCTAATAGATTTTTTTTTTTCATTTCAGAATTCAAACCAAAAACCTTTAATTAAGAAGGGAGACTTCTATCCACTGGGGCAGAGCCAATGAAGATGTTACGGGTTCGTCTGAACCAGTAACTTCAGTTTAGACCTTATATGTATTAAAATTCCAATTAAATAAGTGCAAATATAAATTTTGAACCTAGTAAATTAGATGTCATATGGTAGAATTCTGAACTTGAACCCATAAAGTTTAAATACTGGATCCGTCTCTGTCTATCCATCTCGCCAATATTGATGGTATTTTTTTTTTGTTTTTGTTTTTTTTAATGCCACCATAAGTCTGTACTTATTTTTTATAAGCAAAAGAAAATTACTACTTTTTAAATCATATTAAGTGTTTAGATAACCATAAGAGTTTATAATGTTATCTTTCAATTAAGTGTTTAGATAACCATAATAGTTTATAATGTTATCTTACAATAATGGAAGTTGACAAATAAGACAATCTTAAGTGATGTTTAGTGACAATTGTGCGTAATAAATAATGAGAATTGTTTTTATTGTTAGTAAGACCAAATAGAAGTTGTAATGAAAAAAGAACATTAGTTATTGCATCAGTTACATCACAGATTTATAGCAAAATGTGTAATAAATACATAAAATTTAGGAGTGCCATTATTTAGTTTTAATTAAAGTATGGCAATATAAAATATTAATTTTCTGCTCCAGGGTTTTATAGTACGTTGACCCATTTTTGTTTCCAATTATCAAACTCTCGATTTTCTTGGTACAAAATGTCAAAAATTAAATTAAAATACTGGATTATACCCTTTTTTTTTGGTTGAAAGGAAGATTTTATTTCAACTAGTTTTTCAATGTACAACGCCTGCTCTTTTTGACTCAAGCAGCAGGTCTCAAAAATAACCAAAACAAGAAGCTATACAACATATTGTTGCCTACTCAAGAACCACTTGTGGATTGTGGTTCTTTCTCTATCCTAAGTTGCTAGAACTACAAACTAGGATAACTGTTTAAAGTTTTTAATATAAGTCTCCATTTACATTTTTGTTGACTTGTTATATGTGCTTGAAGTGTAATGTCTTTTGCTCTATCGATAGCTTCCCTCTTCCGTTCTTGAAATCTTCTGCTATTCCTTTCCATCCAGATATGATACACCACAGCTGCAAATACAACCCCTAGGATTATTTTTCTTGGATTCATGTTATTGACATTGGTTGATATCCAATTCAATTCAGACTCCCATCTAGTGATAGCTCCTTTGGTACCTTAGCCATACCAACATTCCCTTCGACATGCTTTTCGAGTACGGGCAATCAAAGAATAGATGAACATGTGTTTCTTCAGTATCCCTGTCACACAACATTCAGGACTGGGGCACCTGGATGCCCCATCTTACGAGTCTGTCAATAATAGCTAGTCTCTGATGAACAACCATCCATAGTATGAACTGATGTTTAGGCAGAATTCCATTCAACATGATTAGTGATTTTCATGGAATTTTGGGATAACATGGCATAGGAGAGATGTAGACCTTTTTATGCTGAATCTTCCATCAGACATAAATGAATCGATCACTGTTAGATCAGAAGCCCACCATTCTTTAGCAGAGAAAATTTTTCTCACTAACCAACTGGTCTATTTTGGTTTTGTCATGGTAGCAATATCTTTGTGCTTTATGTAGTGACTGTGGATTCAAAAAATCCATAGTTTATCTTTCTTTGTAGTAATGGCCCATAGGAGCTTGGTCAGTGCAGCCTTGTTTCATAGTGCATAGTTGATGATGTTTAGACCATCAGCAGCTCTTTGGCTTGCAAAGAGTTTCTTAAGCAACAAGAGCTCTACTAGTGTTATCATGTACTCCAGTCTATAGGAACTTCCTATAAATGTTGTTAACTAGCTTAATGACCTTCTTTGATATTGAGAATACCTGAGACAGTAGGTCTGCATCTCAAATATAACACTCTTAATGAGTTGTAGTCTTCCAGCATAAGATGGAAATTTGAAAGTCTAGCTTATGATTCTGTCAACAATCTTCTCAACTAATGGCATGCACTGGTGGATTGTGAGCCTTCTTGTAGACAGAGGTACTCCAAGGTACTTAAATGGTAGAGTACCTAGTGTTAAATGCAATTCAGCTATCATTCTTTCCTTGAAGGCCAAAGGCACCCCTGCTATATATAAGGAGCTCTTCTACAGGTTTGCTTTAAGACTAGAGACAACAAAAAAGTGCTCAAATGCTCCCATCATTAGTTTCATAGACACTTCATTTGTCGTATAACACATCAGCAAAACAAATGTGCAGAACTTGCAGCCTTTCACACTTGGGACGGAAGTTAAAATCAGGATTCTGTACGAGTGTCTTTAGGGACCTATTCAAGTATTCCATTGCTATCACAAACAAGTAAGGAGACATTGGATCTCCTTGTCTTAACCATTTTTTTGCTTTAAATCTGTCAGTCAGGCCACCATTAAGTAACAATGTATAACTAATAGTTGTTACACACTCCATTATCAGGGCCACCATTTTGTAGGGAATCCCAAATTCCAGTAGTACCATCCTCAAGAAACTCCGTTCTAGAGTCGTATGCTTTCCAGATATCAACCTTGATCATGCATATGGGAGATACTACTTTTTGGGTATATCCTTTGATCAGCTCATATACTATTATAACATTGTCAAGTATATTCCTGCCTTCTTTGAAAGCAGACTGAGAAGGTCCTACTAAGAGATCAACAATTAGTTTGAGTCTAGCTATTAGTACCTTAGCAATGATTTTATATAGTATTGAGTAGCAGACAATTAGCCTAAATTCCTTGACATAAGTTGGATTTTGAACTTTGGGTATCAAGGTGACTATAGTGTAATTTATTTCTTTCAAAAGCTTGCCTTGGATTTTTCTTGGATTCCTGTTAATGACATTGGTTGATATCCAATTCAATTCAGACTCTCAGCTAGTGATGCTCATTTGATACCTTAGCCATACCAACATTCCCTTCCACATGCTTTTCGAGTACTAGCAATCAAAGAATAGATGAGCATGTGTTTCTTCAGTATCCCTGTCACACAGCACTCAGGATTGGGGCACCTGGATACCCCATCTTGCAAGTCTATATTATCGAACTTTTGGTGGAGTCAAGGGGATAGAACGAAAAACATTTACTTTGAGAGGTGGGATAAATTATGTGAGCCAAAATATAGAGGGGGCCTAAGTTTTAGAGATATTAAGGCTTTTAATCAAGCAATGTTAGCTAAAATAGCTTGGAGAATTTTGATTAATCCGGATTTACTTCTTTCGGGGATCCTTCAAAATAAATACTTTTCTAATAACTCCGTCCTGAATACTAGAATTTCTTCATTAGCTTTTTGGATTTGGAGAAGTATTATTTGAGATAGAGAATTACTAAAGAAGGGATTAAGATGGATAAGCATAGTTAATGGTAACTTATACTTAAGAGTGACAAGGCTTATAAATTTAGAATCTCAAACTTGAAAGCTAGGAGAATTAAATAGACATACTTGTGAAGATGATGTAAATACTATTTTGAGAATTTCTTTATCCATCATTACTTTTAGGGATAAATTATATAGCACTTTATCAAATCTGGTAACTATAAAGGTAGATCTAGTTGTCATACCGCAAAAAAACATAGGCAAACAAGGTGAGAATGACAAGAATATTGCTCAATCTAATAGTTATTCTTTCCCCAAAGTTTTTTGGGGATTTTTTACGGGCTATGGGTAAAAACAAGTACAAACATTTCTTAGAAAATGTGTGCTTAACTTTACATGTGAGTAATATTCTTAGGAAGAGAATGAATCAGGTTAATGGTGTGTGTAAAAGACGTGATTTAGAAAATAAAATCGTAGAACATATGCCTTTTAATTGTTCCGATTCTAAAAAATATGAAAACTGAGTTCTGTTAATTGGAGTGACATTGATGGTATTACTGATTTCTCTCTATGGTGGAATAATAAGATTAAGAGAGCAAACAAATGTTCTAATAATTCCGTTGTGGTGCTAAACTTGATTGTAATCATAATGTGACATATTTAAAAAGTTAGAAATCTTTGGTATTTTAGTAATGAAAAAAGTGAACCCCGTGATATTGTTAGGGCTACTTATCGGGCGGATAAGTACGCTTAACGGTTCGGCTTATCGATTATCGACTTTTAAATATACTAATCCGTTAGCCAACCGATAAGATATTGGGAGGTTCGGTATCAAATTAGTAATTCTCTGACGGTTATCGGGCGGGGTATCAGCTAAATCTAAAACTAAGAGACAATAAAAATTAAAATCACATGTAGTCCAACTTTCATCGATAAAATTAAAATAACAGCTGGTATATGTACCATAAGACATCATTCTTATTTAAAACATAAGGAAACCCAACGTCAGACTTCTGTACAAATAAATCAAATAACAAAGCCTACAAAATTTAATATGGAATGACGTTGACTCTTAGCTCTTTCTTAACGTTAATAACCAAGTCACAAAAAAAAAAAAAAAAAAAACTAGCATAACCTTGATACATGAACCTGACAACAGCATAACCTGTAAATAAGACGTTAAGAATCTCAATATTCAGCCAAACAACATAAAATATAATATACCCGGTTATGCCATCTAAACCAGATAATATACCCGTAAATATATAAATTATTAACAGGTTAACGATTTATTCAATAAGAAAATTGAGTA